ACGGAGGGCGGTTGGGTGATTGGTAGAAAGAAGGCGGACCGTAATAACCACTGGGATTATCCATAATTATTACGGGTGGCTGGTGAAAAAGAAGTGAGAAGATCGTTCTCACCAATCTTCACCCAAGCTAATCAGAAGAAATTAAACTAATGCCGTGCCACTCCCCGGCAACGGCGCCATTTGACTGTCGTAGTTTTTCTGGTAGTAAACCTTCCCAGTAAAGGGCTAGTTTTCTCCCCGAGTGTCGTATCTCTCGAGGAGTGGACGAAGGGAATTAGTTTAATTACTCTAACAAGGCGAAGGTTCGGATTGGTTTATGAAAGTCTTCTCGGAGCGATTGTAAAAAAGGAGCGGGTTAAAAATAATAAATTAAGTTTACATAGTATAAGTATAGATCTGGACCTAGGGTCTGGACATCATTCAGATCTATTTTATCATTAACAATTGGAATAATAATATTTCTATTACTACTCATCCATTTCTAGATTTGTACTTAATCCGTTATACTTGAATATCATAGCCTTTTGGCATACAATATTTTCTCAATAAATGGCCAATTAAATCTTACGAGTTTAATTAACCAAATAAGGCAAGAATAATAGATTAACCGCTCCAACATTAATTTAACATAAAAATAAACAACCAAACTAGTCCAGACCCAGAGATCCGGACCCTAACTCATACTATGCAAACATAAATTAAAACATCATTTTTTTAAATAAAGAAAACTTACAACTTCCGTAAAAGCGGAACAGAACTGATCGGGAGTAGAATTCCTCCTAAAAAATTACTCTAAAACTACTAAAATGCTAAACTAATACTTAGAATTGGAATATAAAGCTCAAATCCCGAGAAAGGGGATGAAAGTGATATGTTGAATGGGGAGAATCGCGCTGTATTTATAAGACAGAGGCCGAGGCGTCCAAGTCAAAGCGTCCAGATCCAAATTGTCCAAGGTTGGACGCCTTACGCGGCCCATCCATTCGCTGCTTGCCACGTGTCTTCCTTGATCTGCAATCCAGCCCAGGCGTCCAACTCCAAGCGTCCAACTTGGCCAAGCGTCCAAGTTGGACGCCTTGAGGCCTTGGTCCATTGGGCTTCGCGGCTGCCAAGACCATGGTGGAAAAGCTTAACTTAAGCTTGTTTCCTCATCCTAAACCTTACACGATTCAATGGTTGAATCAAGGTAAAGGTTTACGAGTTGATACCCGCTGTTTAATTTCCTTGAGCATTGGAAAAACCTACAAAGATGATATTTGGTGTGATATCATACCCATGGATGCATGCCATGTCCTTTTGGGACGTCCTTGGTTGTTTGATAACAAAGTGCAGCACGATGGTTATCTAAACACTTATTCATTTCTAATGAATAAGAAGAAGATCACCCTCACACCCTTACTTCCCTCCTCCTCGTCCACTGTCCAAAACAGCCAAGAAAATCACCCCACTCTCATTTCCACCATACTCCAATCTGAACACCATGAGTTCAATGAATTTAAAAACCTCATCCTCCTTGATCTTGAAGAAACTGAACCCAATATTGTTCCAAAACAGCCCCACCCT